ATATATATAAGTGATGAGGGTAATAATTACGATAAGACTCACGTGAATCAACTGCACCAGGTGATGCATCACGTCTCTGTTGACTTGATGAGGCACCTGGTCAACATGGACCGAAACGTCTACTAAGGCGCATTAACGCTCTGTTCAGGTTCGATCCCTCACGCCATGCCAACGGCAATGTCAGACGCTACCAGAAGTACGATCCCGCTCCTTGCGGGCCAGCACATCAAACAACGGTAATTCTCACTATAAAAACCCTCACACTTCGAAGGAAAATGAGGGGGAGAAAAGGGAGAAATCCCCTATGACCATCCACTAACTTGATCGTCAGAGGGGTTGGGTCGGGCTCCCTGACCCGACCTTTGTGCAGGTGCGAAGGTGGAGGTCGTCCACTAAAAGCACGTACGAGGGTTCTCTCCTGGTGGAAACGATGACCCCGTCCCAATCGGAACACCGTGATCGACCACCTCAGCAGTCGGGAGGAGCGTCCCAGGAAGATCCCCATCATCCGGATCCGAACCAAGCCGCGTCGGTCCTTAGGCCACGGCTTAAAGTTATTTACACTAACAAAAAGTAATCCTACTAACATAATACGTTTCTCTCGATCAAAGGGAAGATGGTCGGTCACGCAAGATTCTTGACGAGCTATGTCAAGAATCTTGCGTGACACGAAAGAGTACGACCTCCGACACGAACTTAGCTCGTCACATGATACTTTCTCCCTGCATGTTTTGTCCCTTAACTCGTTCCTTTGTCCGTAACCACGACTGCGCTCACGACACATATGTCGAGTTTGACGGACACCGCAACTCGACAAACCAACCGACACTAAACTTTCGCTACCTTTGGATTAGTCACAAAGATCCAAATTCTTATCAGATTGTTGTACGCATCTTAAAGCGTAATGGAAGATCCAAACTCTTCGTAGCCTCGGCTCGCAAGCCACCAAACTCCTACTCCCGAAAAGATCACTCTTTTTATCATGTTGTGTGTATATATATATGCAGAACTCTGAGCCATGGCCTTACCTTGCTTGGATCTCACATGGCTTCTTCTCTCACTTGGTCACTGTTTCTGGCTTCTCTCCTCTTCCTTTTCACTCTCCCTTCACCCACATTGTCTTCCGATGTCGTCTCCAGTTCTGGGAATACCAATGCAGAAAGCTCTGTCCGTGATCTATGCCGGTCCACCCCATACCCCGCCGCCTGCCTCGACTCCCTGAAGCTGTCCGTTTCCATCACCATCAACCCCTCCGTCCTCTCCCTGGCGCTCCGCACCCTCCAGGCCGCCATCTCGGAGGCGGCCAAGCTCTCCTCGGTCCTCTCCTCCGCCGGCCGCCCCGGCGCCGTGGTCGAGTCCCAGCGCAGCTCCCTCCAGGACTGCCAGGAGCTGCACCAGATCACCGTCGCCTCGCTCCGGCGCTCGGCCGGCCTCGTCAAGCCCGAGGCCCGCAAGCTCGCCGACGCCCGGGCCTACCTCGCCGCCGCGCTCACCAACCGGGCCACCTGCCTTGAGGGCCTCGCCGGCGCCCGGGGCCCGCTCAAGGCCACGCTTGTCGACTCCTGGCTCGCCGCCTACGCCCACGTCAGCAACTCCCTCTCCCTCGTCGCCCGCTCCGGGGGCCGCAAAGGGCGGCGGCTCTCCTCCGCCCGCCCCTTCCGCAGCCGCGGCGGCGGGGGGTTCCCGGCGTGGGTCGGCCGGAGGGAGCGCCGGCTGCTGCAGGACGGGGACTACGGGGACGTCGACCCCGGTTCCGTGGTCACGGTGGCCGCGGACGGAACGGGGAACTTCACGACATTGGGGGAGGCGGTGGCCTGGGCGCCGAGCAACTCCGACGACCGCACCATCATCCTGGTGCGGGCGGGGGTGTACGAGGAGCACGTCGATATCCCCAGCGACAAGACCAACATCGTCCTCATCGGCGACGGCAGCGACGTCACCGTCATCAGAGGCAACCGAAGCGTCGGCGACGGCTGGACCACCTTCCGATCGGCCACCGTCGGTAAGCTTATTTACTATCCCCTCGAAATTACTATCCAAACCTTCTTAATTACTTGTACTTGGTGTTCTCATACCTCAATCCGCTTGCATGTTCATGGTTACCTTGCATCGACTGTCCAACAGAGATGGAACAGAGATAACCATCGCCATCCCCGTATTCATCATTCAACGACATCATGTACTTGAAGATTTCGTCATATCTAATAAGTAGAAACTATAGGCATACGAATGCCTTCATTAACTGGTCCATTACTGCCATGGATAGCGGCAACATGTCATCTTTTCGTAGCGGTTGCCAACGCATAGCGTGCTGTCTGAGCCACTTGGCAATGGACGACAAACGACCAGCACACATGACCTTTAGATTGCTAGGTTCTTCTTCTGATGCATCTGTCTTGAACTGTAAAGATCCGTGAAACATTGATCTGCAGCGGTGTCCGGTGAAGGGTTCCTGGCACGAGACATCACGTTTCAGAACGTCGCGGGGCCGAGGAAGGGCCAGGCAGTGGCGCTCCGGGTGAACGCCGACCTGGTGGCGCTGTACCGCTGCGTCATGGACGGGTACCAGGACACGCTCTACGTCCACTCCTTCCGCCAGTTCTACCGGGAGTGCGACGTCTACGGGACCGTGGATTTCATCTTCGGCAACGCCGCGGTGGTGCTCCAGGCCGGCAAAATCGTGGCCAAGATGCCCATCCCCGGGCAGTCCAACGTGATCACAGCGCAGTCCAAGGACGACCCCAACGAGGATACGGGCATCTCGATACAGAACTGCACCATAGTGGCGTCGCCGGAGCTTGCTTCCAGCAACGTGATAGTGAAGACCTTCTTAGGCAGGCCGTGGAAGAACTACTCGACGACGGTGTACATGGAGTCGTACATCGGCGGCCTGGTGGATCCGGCGGGGTGGAAGGAGTGGTCCGGCGACCAAGGACTCGACACGTTGTATTATGGGGAGTACATGAACAGCGGGCCGGGATCGCCGACCGACAATCGGGTCACCTGGCCGGGGTTCCTTGTTATGGATTACGACGACGCCTACAGCTTCACGGTCTCGGAGTTCATCTACGGGGATGAGTGGCTGGAGTCTACTTCATTCCCTTACGACGATGGCATCTGATTCTTTAGCGTAGTTGTGGTTTCTTCCTACTGTAAATAACGTGATTTGGGCCGACAAAGAAGAGAAAACGAAGGAAATAGAAAGAAATCAAGATGGTGTTTGTAGAGATGAACTATGACTTAGGACAATCGATGGTGGAAGACTCTTATCCTGTTAGAAAAAGAATCAATGTTGGCAATAAATGATATCATGTCGGCCGTATTACTTTCTTAGGATTTTGCATGTGATAATATATGCGGAGTAAGTCCAGAAATTGGCTAAAAAATATTGGATCGATTGAGATCAGACCATCCAAAAGAATTCAGTTTATGAAATGCTATGAATGTTTTGATGGTATGGAAATAAGATACCACTTGAACAGTCATTGATTCCTGGCACAGAACTGTATGGATTACATTATTATAATTAGCAATCTATATGATGAATTAGAGTTGATGTAATCAGTGGTCAACCTAAGAACACTTTCTTCTAACTCCTCTCTCTCTAGAGCAACCCGCCAGAGTAAGGAATGGAGGTGGACGACAACCAAGCGTCTGCTGTGGTGAAATTATACACGGTAAAGTTCAATGCGTCCATGGCATTCATCAGGCTGTACCCTGGCCATTGCACTCTTCCACTGGTATTGGCCCCGGGGCCATGGTTGTCGAACTCCCCGTAGTACAATGTGGTCAGCGCGAAGCTGCCGCTCCACTCTAGCCACCCCACCGGCTCGATCACCCCGTCGATGAACGACTGCATGTACACCGTCCTCGAGTACTCCTTCCACGGCCGGCCGAGGAAGGTCTTGGTGAAGTTACGATCCGCTGCCTCGAGGTCGGGCGCGGCGCGGACGGTGCAATTGTGGATGGAGATGCCGGTGGTCTGGTCCGGCATGGTGCGCCCCTGCGCCGTGACGGCGTTGACCTGGCCCGGGAGCGGCTTGCGCGCGTAGATGTTGCAGTTCTGGAAGACGGAGGCGGCGTTGCCGAAGATGAAGTCGACGGTGCCGTAGACGTCGCAGTCGCGGTAGAACTGGCGGAGGGAGTGCACGTAGAGCGTGTCCTGGTAGCCCAGGAAGCTGCAGCGGTAGAAGCTGGAGAGGTCGGCACTGTTCCGCACCGCCACCGCCTGGTGCTTCTCCGGCCCAGCCGTGTTCTCGAAGGTGATGTCGATGGCTATGAATCGCTCACCGTGCACCACTGCGCTCACCAAAATACCACATGTTCAGAAGACGTGCATAACATGCATCAGAATTCGAGCAGGAGCATGCGCGCTCACCGAATGTAGCAGAGGCGAAGGTAGTCCATCCGTCGACTACGCTGCGATTCGAGGTAATTATGGTCCTGTTGATCCCTACTCCAATCAAGATCAGGTTCTTCTTGTTCTTGGGAACCACCACGTTCTCGCTGTAAACCCCTTCCTCTATGTAGATGGCGAAGTAGCCATCTTCGATGGCTGTGTTGTTCGGAGCGAACGCGACGGCATCTCCCACGGTTGTGAAGTTCCCACTGCCATCCTTGGTTACCTTCACCGACTGTGATTGGTTTACAGGCACGACCTCGCCGCTCTCTTCGAGAAGGTTCCTCCCAATCGCCGGGAAATCAGCCGGCGGCGATCTTTGACCACCGGTAGACCCTGAGGAGAGACAGTATTATTAGACAAAGTTGCCTGGTACAGGGAACAACGGGGGCCTCAGACGTGGAGCCCACTGCGGGAGCCTACTTTGATCGCCAATCGCAAGGCAAGCGAGCGAGACACGAAACATATGTTAGAGATTAGATCGAGGCCGTCTATTTGGTGTATGTATACAGGTGATTGCATGGGCATCGAGCAGATCCGTGGCTCTTTCTTAGCGACAGGATGAGTGGGACCTATACGAAGGTCAAAGGACCGCACCTAGTGGGCCCAGATGGCGATGGTACGTCCACGCCGAGAAATGCACGTGTGGTACTTCCAAAAGAAGAGGACGAGGAAGAGATGAATGCTGTCAACTTCACCTGTGCGCTCGTCGGTTTCGGTGCTCTTCCCATGCCCGCGGTTTCCGCTCCGGTCCAACGCGGTGGTGACCAACCCGAGCGACACCCCGTACAGCCGTGTCTCGTCCGCGAGGGCGCCGCGCAGCTCGGGGAAGGTGCGGGAGACCTCCAGCCCGTCGTAGCACGTCTGCTGGTTGGTCACCACGGCGCTCATCAGCGCCCTCACCCGCCCAACCGCGGCCGCGCCAAGCGCCGCCTCCCGCGGGCCCAGCTCCGCCTGCACCGCCTTCAGATAGTCCGCATTGAGGCTGGCCAGCGCGCGGCAGTCCTCGAGTGCCCCGCCACTCACGCCTCGGCGAGCCCGACCACCGCCCGCGGCACCGGAGATGTAGCGGTCGAACAGGGCAGCGGTCCGGCGGGCCCGCTTGAGCGCCTGCTTGACGGAGTACCGGCCGTACTCGTACTGGTTCGACGGGAACCGCAACGGCGACAGGACGGCGCGGCACAGCTTGGGGTAGAAGGAGGACCTGCACGCCGACACAGGGGAGACAGAGGGTGACGGTGCAGCGACTGCAGCCAGAGGAAGAACGAAGAAGACGAGAAGGTATTGGTATGACAACATCGCAACACGTGTGATTCAGCCAGAGCACCGAACCGTAGTGTACAAGGCGAGGGTGGAGATGAGGAGATCCAAGACCAGAGATGGATACATAAATAGGGGAGAAGAAAGCGCGTGAGATATTAGCTGCATAGTGAACGAAGAGACAGTACGAGTATAGGCAGAGGGCTCATCTGTTACTGCACCCAGCCATAAAGAAGACTTACTAATAATTTTCACTGGTTAGTGCGAACCAGTTGTTGTCGAAGAGATTTCTTTGGTTGTCTTCCAAGCAAAGACAAAAGAAGGGAAACCGTCAGCTAAATGCTTTAGGTGGAGGCAGTAATGACTGCAGGAAGAAAGGGTTCATGATGTAGTAGCTCACCAACTTTACGAGAAAGTGTCGATCGACCTCATTAACGTGCATTTGTGATGGCCTAAACAGTAGATCATTAATTGTTCGTCTATCAAAGTACAACGTTTCCAGCATCTGAAGGCAACTAATACTCACCTATTACTGCTGTGTCGGCGAACTGCGCTTTTGCAAGAGACAGCAAGTGCTGTTCCAAATGCTACTGAGTTGTAATCCTCCCCAGCGTGACATTGCATGGGTTGAAGCAACAATGGCTTGACTTGTGAGTCAAAGGAGATCAAGTTTCTGTCGGTGAAAATTATATTCCCAAAGGTTTGTCGTCATGCATCTGTTTGGTATTTGTTTATTGAAACTGTGAATGAGGAATGGACAAAACAACACGACCTCCTGCTTCAGTTTGTCAAAACTTAAGTTGGTCAATAAACGATGAATCTGAATTTGAATGGATTGATGCAATTATTCTGAGTTGTAAATTGTGGAAGAGTAGCCATCAGTGGCTTGAAGTGATGATGAGCAGTGCAGCTGTTATTTTGCCTGACAAAGTACATAAGCTATTTATTAAGCTATATTCAAAAGATGATTGGTTTAAGGTTTTATTATTAGAAAATAGAAGTTGAAGGTAAGCTCTAATTTGAGTCAGCTAAAATTGCATGTCTTTTAGATCTTTCTACCTGTGTGTATGATACAAGTGTTCTAATGTAATGCTTCAGCTTGAATCTCAATCTTTAGAAGAAGAAGCTCAAGAATAATGCAAGGCTATCTGATACGATAAGACATTACAAGAAGCCAACAATGTTCAGGTTCAGAAATCTGATGCTGATTCCATTGATGTTATGACACCATCAAACAAAGAGAGCCAACCTGTAAAGATCTCTAGCTTTTCACTTCAAATTGGAAGCAGCATCTAAGCTTCATTTGTGACTGCAGAACATGTTCTGTTGTTTGTGTCACTGTGTACCACCATATCACAAAAAAAAATGCAGAACATTACAGATCAGCCATCTCAGTCCATTAAAAAGCTTTGCTTCTTTCTAAGCATATTTTGTCCTCTGTTTCAATTTTGATGTCAGCATAGCTTTGTTTTCTGTTCAATAGTAACACAGAGAACCTTTTGCAGAATGATGGTGAGATTTCACATGGCCAAGTCTGGGAATGGCTCATCATCTCAGTAGCCACAGGTTGGCACATGGTAGGTGCCATCTTACCAAATACTCAATAGGCTAAATTGGATCCCAACTACTAAGCTTTAAGAATTGACAGAGCCATCCACCCTACGATATGATTCTTGCAACCATCTTTTTCTTTTCATTTGAGAGTACGATCGATTGACAGTGTGAAGATGGAGACAAGGTTGGAACTACATGCATCAAATGGTTAGATGGTGAACGGAGGATGTCCTAGGCAAGAAGGCAGCATGCGGCAGATCTCCATCTCCTTCGTTTCCTGTGCCTTTGATCCATCTTGGAGTCTACCTTGTCCTGTTATACATGGAGTATAGGTCGAAGCTAAGAACAGTAAAGCTCTGGGAGAAGCGGAAGTGGCAGCAATGGACATCGTTAAGTCCTTCAATGGCTACGGGAAGGTGAGCGAGATCGCGGACCGACACTTCCGCCGCACCACGCGAAGGCGTCTCGCCCTCCTCGCCGCCTCCGCCGTCGTCCTCGTCGTGATCGTCGTCTCCGTCGGCGTCGTCGCGGCGATCGGGCACGGCGATGGCTCTCCCTCGCCGACGTCAATAGCGGACTCGATCAAGGCCATGTGCAACGTGACGCGCTACCCCGACTCGTGCTTCTCCAGCATCTCCACTGCCAGGGGCGCCAACCTCACCGACGACCCCGAGGAACTCTTCAGGATCTCCCTTGCTGTCGCCGTCGACGCCATCGGGAAGGTCTCGACCGTGGCCGGCTCGTTCGAGATCCCGGCCAAAGACAAGCGGCTCGAGGCGGCGCTCCGGGACTGCGACCAGCTGTTCGACAGCGCGATCGACCGGCTCAACGACTCGCTGTCGCTGATGCAGCCGCTGCCGGGGGAACCGCTGCTGAACGCATCCAAGATCGAAGACCTGACGACATGGCTGAGCGCGGCGGTGACCGACCAGGAGACGTGCCTTGACGGGTTCGAGGGCACGACCGGAAACGTCAGGGACAAGATGGAGGTGGCCATGGTGAACTCCACGCAGTACACCAGCAATAGCTTGGCCATTTTGGTGGGCATTCTCGGCATCATGGAGAAGCTAGATTTCCCACTACATAGAAAGCTGCTATCGGTTCCTTCCGCTGTTCGGTATCCCGCGTGGATCTCGAGAGCGCAGAGGAGAGCTCTCCGGCAAGATACGGCGAGGCGGGAGCCGAACGTGACGGTGGCAATGGACGGGAGTGGGCAGGTGAAGACCATCAAGGAAGCGATCGATCTGGCACCGAAGAAGAACGCCCACCCGTTCACCATCTACATCAAGGAAGGCGTGTACAAGGAGAATGTGGTGGTGGACAAGAGCAAGTGGAACGTAATTGTGTTGGGGGATGGCATGTACAAGACGATCGTCGACGGGAAGCTGAACTTTATCGAGGGAACGCCCACATTCTCCACTGCAACCTTCAGTAAGTACTCCATGGAAGCTCTGCTCTGAGATCGTTGGAATGAAATTGAGGTCATTGACCTGCATTCTCTCATAATACACTTACCAAGCGTCCTCATCAACGAGTTTTGTCTCAGCTGCAGCTGGGAATGGCTTCATGGCCATGGACATGGGCTTCAGGAACTTCGCGGGGCCCGAGAAACACCAGGCGGTGGCCCTCCGGTCCAGCTCCGACCGCTCCATCTTCTTCCGTTGCTCCTTCGACGGCCACCAAAACACCCTCTACGCGCACTCCCTACGCCAGTTCTACCGCGAGTGCGACGTCGCCGGCACCGTCGACTTCATCTTCGGCGACGCCGCCGTCGTGTTCCAGGACTGCAAGATCAGGCCGAGGCAGGCCCTGCCCCACCAGCAGACCACCATCACTGCGCAAGGCAAGACGGACCCCAACGAGAACACCGGCATATCGATCCAGGCCTGCACTATCGAATCATACGACAACGTCACAGTCTCAGCCTACCTTGGCAGGCCATGGAAGGATTACTCCACCACCATCATCATGCAGTCGGAGATCGGAACGGTTGTGAGTCCTACAGGGTGGCTGCCAATGGAGATCGGCACCGAGCCTCCGAGCACCATCAGATATGCAGAGTATCAGAACACCGGGCCTGGATCGACTGTAGCTGGCCGCGTCAAGTGGCCAGGTTACAACCCAGGGATCAACACAGAGGAGGCAAGCAAGTACACGGTGGAGACATTTATAGGAGGAGGAGTTTGGATTCCGGCCACTGGCGTGCAGTTCCAATCCAGCTTGGGCCAGTAATTTCTCGATCCTTTGCCATCAGGCAACTGTAAAATGAGTGAAACTGAAGAGTTTGATCGATTCAATGCATTCGAACACTCTATCTAGATTTCTCAAGAAAGAAAACTGGATCTTCCCGACACTGATGCCTGCTACAATTCTTGAGTACGTAAGTACGGCCATAAAGGCAATAACTGGGCACGCTAATGATCTGCAATGATGCGCACATTGTAGAAAGCTATTGTTGTGAGGGAGGGAAACGAGAAAAATTCAAAAATCAAAAGATAATATTTAATAATAATAATAATTTAAAAATATATTATAAAATTGACGTAAAATTAACATAATTTAGTTCACACGAAGAAAATTAAATTCTTAAATATAAAATTAATTATAAGACTCTTAGAGTTATCCATACTCAAGTATGATTCTCTTGTATACCTATCAATATAAACCTATAGAATTTTTTCTTGAGAAACCCTCGAGATTATTCTATGGAGCAACCAAAATGTCTTAACTCTCTTTCAGCAAAACCCTAAGAATCAATATATATTTATAGTAACAAATAGTAATTCACTTGGGAGTTTCAATTTAATTAGGACCCTATCAACTAATTTGAATATAATTAATATTCTTAAAAATACTTACCAACATAATAATCTCCACATTTTGTGAGCTTTTTTTCACTTTATATCTCAGGTAGAAATTGAACCATTTGCTTCAAGAATTCACCCTAGTTATACAAATTGAATCATGGTTCAATACCTGATTCCAAGAAGTTCGCCACTACATCATGTATTAATGATGTCACTTTATTTTGGAGGGAGACATTCATCTTATTGTCTTACCACCAACAAGATTTTCTTCCCTCATAATTATCTACATCTTAAAAATCATGAATATCACACTTTTGTTTTGAACAAAAGCTTACTATTGTAGATACCTACTACTATCTATTAGCCTTTTGAGGTTTTTACAGTACTTCCTTCCAAACTAATCTTTCTTTCATCATGATCATGTAATTCTGTATAACTTTTAGAATTTCACCTCTAACCTTGTAGTTATTATCTTGTGAATCTAAAAAACTCAAATAAATTAGATTCTTCGACATCTTTAGAATATTAGATATATCTTTCAAAGTATATACCACTTAGTCAATTATTTTAATCTTTATTTTATTGACACTCATGATTTTCATAGTAGAGTCATCATCCAAACTTAATTTACTAGTCATCTTATCATTTAGTGAATAAAAATAATATTTGTGAGAGCAAACATGAATACCACAAACTAAATCTAAAGACCAACTCTTCTCGAAAGATACATCATTATCTTTGGAGATTGTAAGGATATTTTTATCATCATCTATCATAAGAGAGCACTCATCGATCTCTTCTTCTTGTTTCCTTTTTCTCAAATAATTCTGTTTGATATATTCGTACTCTCTTACATTTATAGCATTGAACATCATCTAAAGTCCCGACTCTTGATCTCTACATTCCACATTGAGATATACTTCTATTAAAAAATCTCCTTGTCAACCTTCACTTTGAGTAGCTAACGTCTCACTATTTATATTATCAAATTTATCATTTTTCCTTATAGCATGAGACATTAAAACTTCTTCAACTTGTTTTAAAGTTACTATATCATTCCCATATAGTATTATCTCTATAAGTTATTATAGGAGTCAATGTAAAAGGTAACAACACCTTACCTTCTTCATTAATCTTTACATTAAAATTTTCGATTAATTCAATATTTATTTCATCCTTAGCCTATATAATTTTTACATTATATAACTTATTAGTTATGCTTTTAGTCGAATAAAACTCTTCTAACTTATCCCAAATAAATGCAGATGAGTCATCGTTAATAATATTATTGATAATATTATTAGTAATGTAAAAACGAATAACACTCACTCACTTTGCTTGAAGCTCTTCCAATTTTTGTTGCTAATCTTTTTTAATTTGTATGTTTGTCCTTTCAATATTTTTGTTAGGCTTTGTTGAATAAGAAGATCATTCACTCACCCTCCCCTGCTATAGTATCATAGATAAAGTTATAAACAATATATTCGATGTCATGCTCGAGTATATCTATATCTTTCCTATGTATATCTATAAACAAGGTATTGTATATCATGCTTGTATATATCTATATCTTTCGGTTTTGTTCATGTTTTGCATAATATATAGAAGGCTCGTAATAGGCTTGGTAGCCCTGTTTTAGTTGGCTTTTATGGTTATTTCAAGCTTATAAATACATATTGCATATAATCATCATGTATAAGTAAAACTATCCAGAAATAAATCATCTAAAGAATCATTTTGGGGGATTTCTAGTTCCACAAAGTGGTACGGAGTATTAACCAGTAAAACATCTAGAAACGACTCAGGTGGCACATGGTTGGATAGACTTTTAGGATAGTGTTTAAGGCTAATTCATTGCATTGTTCAATAAGAATGTCTTATAGGCACTTGTGGATAATTTTTAGCTATAACGAACTATTTTGGACCATAATTATTTAGAGTTTATAAATTCTATATTTGAATTTATATTGCACGTCAAATATTTGCTGAAATGACTGTTTATTGGATCCCTAATTAAATATTTTCTCTTATCTATTTTCTCTTTTACAAGTCTTTAAGGGATTATAAAAGATTTTGAAGAGATTGACTTTTTGTATGCCACACGACTTCGATAAAACTAATTAAGTATGTGATAATAGAGTGAAACTATTTTTTCTATCAAATTTATTTATAGTAAAGCTAACAAAGATAACCAACAACATTCTTGGTGAATCTCTAATCATCGTATCTTTTAAGTTAGTATATCAGCTTAGGGAGAGGAGAAAAACCAAAACCGAAACTAGAAATACATCAACGATTAATAATCAAATGAATATATTAGAAATAAAGTCGATAAAAAATTAACATGATTTGAGTAATTCTTACCTATATCTAAAAATAAAAAAATTTAAAATTAATTATAAGACCTTCCACTTATCCTCACTCAAATATGACTCATACACTTTTCATATAAATTCAAACAATATCTCTCTTAACTTTTTTAAGAAATTCTAGCTACAACCGAGAACAATCAAAGTATGGCTCGCACCAAAAAGTTAGGACTTAAAAAAGGTATATTTATAGTAAGAAACTATGCTTAACTAAGGAATTTAAATTTAATTAGAACGTTACTAATTAATTTGAATATAATCAAAATTTATAAAAATTCCGACAAACCCTAACAATCGTTGTCTTCCTACACAGATAAGCAGGATCGATCATGCTTGGCCAATTAGATCGATCAAATTGGATCATATGAGCTATAGGTCACGTCATTATATTCCTTATCATAATTCGATTTGAATCATAGTCAAATCGATTGGACGGTTCATTCCTTTCAAATCAAATCACAACCAATTCGAGTCTGATTCCTAACTTTTAGAAATCAGGACGGGTGATTTTTTCAATCGAGACCAAAAATTCCAACTTTGATTGGAACCCTCAATTTTATGCATTAATCACTTACGGACTAATCCATAAAATAAGACACATCAAATACTTTTTCTTCCGGACACACAAAATATTGTCTTTAGTATATAGTTGATTATAAAATAAGATACTGACACACTAGATTGCATGCTTTAATGATCATTTTCTACATACTATATATATATATATAATTTGAATTTGGAGGTGCAGATAGTAAATTCACCGACTTTGAAGGGGATAAGTGCAATTCTGCGATCATTCGACGACAACCGTCTGCTGTAGTCGACTTTTGTGGGACCGGTACGTCGTATCATTTCAGCCCACATAATTTCTATCCGAGAAGCTGAATACATTTAGCAGAGTTACTCTCTGCTCTATCTGCCACGCAATTTGTCAAAAGATGGGGTCCGTAATGAGCCCCGCTGACAGGTCACGGGGCTCTCCAATTAAAAGACGGTTACGACGGCGGGTACCGTCGAGCAATATCATCCCCCCGTTTCCAAGCGCGTAAGAGAAGAAGGAAAAAAGGAGAAGAGCGGGGGCCGCCTCCTCCCCCTCCACATGAAACCCGAAGCAGAGGGGGGAGAGTCGGGAAAGGTGCGAGGTGGAGAAAGGTGGGATTTTTCTTCCTTTTTCCTGCAATTTTTTGTGCGCCATATTGTTTATGTTTCCGTGAATTTGGTTGAGAGCTCGACCCGATCCCGCTCTGAAGCTTCGGGAAACGAGGGGATCACGTGTGGCGTTTGATCCGCTCCACGCGAACTCCTTCCCCAATCCCTTCTCTTCCTCGTTTCTCGGTCTTCGTCTCTGCGATCGCCTCCTCTTCGTTCCGAATTCGAGTGGGTGGGAATCTCGCCGTCGAGTTAATCGGCCGTGAATCTCCCTGATTTCTGAGTCCTGAGTATCGTTCTCCCGCTGGTAGATTTCATTTCATATTTGGTTTTTTCTTTTTTTTTTTGGATAGCGGTTTGTGAATATTTTGTCTTTTGTTCTTCTCTCGCTGCAGAATTGGTTTCTGGCGACGCGGGTTTCAGTTTGTGAAGGTTTTGAGGTCGGATTGCCGTCGGACATAGGTCACATATAGGTATTAGGGTTTTGGATCGTAACCGAGAAGGTGAGGTGTCTGGGTGATGAGAGATTGATATGGAATACAAGAAAAACCGTTTACATCGCCGGGCGGTGATGTAGAGTATCAAATCCAAATCTTTGCTTCGTGGTTCTGAATTCTTCGCAAGTTAGGTAGAGCTTCTTGAAAGGGTGGGTGTTTTTGTTCCTTTTAAAAAGGGTGGCGTTCTCTTGATTATTAATTCGGTGGCTGGGTTCAATCTGTCGGATTGACTTGTATGAGCTAAAGCTGAACTTTTGGATTGAAATCTGAACAAGAGCTAGTTTGTTGGTGAAACTTTTCAATCATTTTCGGATAGCAGCAAATGAACAAATCAGAATGAGGGTCTTGCCAGGACCCATCGTCTATGGAAACCACTGACAAGAGGTTCCCTGATTTAGTCACCATATTGAA